CCCCCCCCCCAGCTCACTGTGAATCTCACCTGCACTTACTGCTCCAACTTCATGGGGCACCTCATTAACAGTTGGCATCTGCATCCCATCTTCCCAGAAGAAATATAAAATGAAGAACTCTGGAAGCCTGGCTAATACCTGAACCCACAAGGCCCCACTTTAGTCTCAGAACAATGTTTCTGATCCACTTTTCAAACTCTGCCCTCTTGGTTGGCAACACCAGTTTCCATTTTGTTTTCTCCATCATTGTGGTTCCTTGGTGGGATACAGGTCATGTTTGCTCAGTCAAGGGGATACAAAGGACAGACGAAATGGGAACAGAGTAGGATACATTCTCAAGAGGGGAAACTGCTGCTTACTTCTATCCTGATGCAGGTGATTCCTGTTCTGGCCATGATATGTTTTCTGGTGGCATTTTTCTGCAAATACTTGGCATTTGTATGCAGTTCAAAGAAGAAGAGCACTCAGCAAGAAGACATGATCTGCTCTCATTAAGACAGGACGTATATGACTGCTTAGCCCTTGTTGTCCCTGGTTTGTTTGTTTTTTCCTGGTCTGCTCCATTCCTGAGAATATGCCTTTTCCTTTGTGTATGCATGTATAGAAGAATCCTCAGTAGGCCATGAAGTTTCACTGTGTCTTTCAAAATCTGGATGCAGAGCTGAATCTCTTCCTACTATTCATGCAGAGAACCATTACACACAAATTCTGAGTGATAGATCTGTAGGATATAATTGAACCATTATGGATAGACTTTAGGCTTGCAGGATCTGCCTTATGTTCCATCAAACAGAATGGTGGCAGGCAGAAATACGTAGGATTAAGGAACAGGGTGTCCCTGAGTAAGTGCTAAACTGTGGGGTTTGTTTTCCTTAATTAAGAAAGAAAGAGCCTACAGTCTATTTAGTACTCTTCCCCAGCATCACTCCTGGTTTCACCATTACCACCATCACCAATTTTCTCTGTTTTAGTAGACTAATTAGGGAGTGGGGGGGAATGTCCTCTTCATGTTGGCATTGTTAAATCATCGGCAAATAGAACCCCTTGCAAGACTTTTGCAAACCATCTCAAAACTCAACTTTATCCCTTTCAATATGTAGAGAGATTTTGTAGCACCTTTGAGACTAAATGAAATAAAGAAGTTGGCAGCATGAGCTTTCAAAAGCTCATGTTGCCAACTTCTTTATTTCACTAGTCTCAAAGATGCTACAAGATCTCTCTGCATACTGATTCTACATACTAACATGGCTATATCTTTGAATTTTACCCATTTCAGTAACAGAACTTCACAGTCTTGGCTTTGCTGTACTGAAGGGAGAGTCTCTAAATCAGGGGTGGGCAACCTAAGGCCCAGGGGCCGAATGTGGCCCCCCGAGGCCTTTAGACCAGCCCCAGGCCGGTCCTGCCGCTGCTGCCGCTGCCCGCCATAATTATATTGATTATTGTTGTTATTACTTGTTCTTGAGTTTTTCTTGGCAAAATCTCCACAGGGGTTTTGCCATGGCTTTTCTGGGGCATGCATATTTTATTTATTTATTTATTTATTTATTTATTTATTTATTTATGCTGCTTCGGCCCCCCAATTGTCTGAGAGACAGCAACCTGGCCCCTGGCTCTAAAAGGTTCCCTACCCCAGCTCTAAATGAATGTTTAAGGTTGGGGTGGATGTTGAGGACATTTTGATATTCAGTTCAATAAGCATGTGGTCATCAGTGCCTAAACTATTGTTAACTCCTGAAAAATTCTTTTGATACTGGAAAGAGTGCTGTGGATGGTGCAGTTTCCCATCTCCCCTCCAGGAAGCCACTCCATGAGTCCACTTTTCGGGTTAGGGTTATGGTTAGGGAATCATGGGAACTTTAGTTTATTGTGGCATCAGAGCTCTCTGACAGAGAAGGCTCAATGTCTCAGAAAAAAACAATTCTCATGCTTCCCTAACACTAACACTAACCCTAAAAGTGGACTCAATTTGCACTATTTCTGGCAGTCTGCAACCCCCCTGAAGTCTCAGGGCTCATTCCCACTGTGATTTGCATTGATTTGCTGATCGCTTTAAATGTGCCTCATCCCCATTTGAAATGGTTTTAGATGTGACTGCAATCGTTTGGACTCACTTTGAAGTGAGATAAATGCAAAAAAAAAAATCACTCTTTTCAGACACTAGTTTTTTGCCTGTCCTTTTGAAAAGAAGTGATTAGCAGGCATGTTCAGCAAGTAGGAACAACGGACCTGAGTCGCATCAAACTGAAAGGGATTACTGTGGCAGAGGCTGGCACATCCCTTACCAGTTTTTGGGGAAATCTGTCATCCCCCCCCCCCAGCACTGCCTTTGTGCTTTGTAGTGTGACCTATGGGCGCATTAAAGAGAGAGAGAAAGTATATGCACTCCATTGTATTTGCAGTTACTTGCAATTACTTGTGAAGGGCAAGGCAGGCATGCAGACTCACTGCAGCTCAGCAAGTAACTGCAAAAATAATGGAGTGCATATACTATCGTATTTTTTAAAAATTGCATGCATCCTGGAGGAGAGACCTCCATGACACCCATGGCTGCATGCATCCTGGGGGAGAATCCTCCATGACACCCATGGCTGCATGCATCCCAGGGGGGAGTGCTCCATGACACCCATGGCAGCATGCATCGCAGGGGGGAGTGCTCCATGACATCCATGGCTGCATGCATCCCAGGGGAGAATTCTGATTACGACACACATGACTCCTTCCTGTGCTTTCTTGAATGTGTTGCCGGTTGCATCACTGATGATGCATAGATGATTGACAGACATTTTGAAGAGGCACAAACTAGTGGGAATGACAATCATGCCAAAAAAGAAGTGAATAACGAAAAGACTTGCTTCTGTAGTGAGAAAGACGCATTGACTGGAACCAATTGACCGACCTGGAGCGAAAGCGAATTACAAACCAGGTTAAATGTAAGGTGGAATGAGCCCTCAGTCACCACATTTTCAGCCCTTTGTGTCATTGAGGCTTGTTACTGGGAGCTGCATAGTGTTTTTGCTCCTGTGAACTGGCTTGTTTTGTTACAGGGGGCCACAGAGCTGATCTTAATCTGATAAAGCTGCATTTACGACAGCTTTTCTCTTTCATTTCCTATCAAGAGCAAGTTTTCATGTTCCATTTCAGATGCTCTCTTCTCCAGTAAGGCATAAACAGATCCTAATAGATAGCTTTGCTTCCACCAATCATTTGTCCTCCAGATGTGTAAGACTGCTATTTTCATTTTCCTTACTCAATGGGCCTGCTGGCCATTTTGGCCAGAGATGACAAGAATTGTATTGCAAATCTGACAGATTCTGGATTGGGGAAGGCTGACACAAGGCATTGTTTGCAAAGCTAGAATGGGCATTCTAATCTTCTCATGTCAGCCTTGGCACATGGATTGCCACCTTTTCTTCAGGCAAGATTTGCATGTGTGTGTGTTTTAACAACAGTATGCTGAACAGAAAATCAACAGGCAATTTTTCCTGTTTCGTTACTCCATACAGAGAGGAGCAGCAGCTATGGAATTTCTGACTGAAAAGGCAAAGTTTTTGCAGACACTTGCCTGTTTCCTTGTGTCATAAGCACTCACAGGGCATTTAGTAGAACTCATCTTACTCTTCAGACTGGCAAGGATGCAAGGCATCCTTCCATGGGTATATCCATTGGCCAGCTACATTGGCCTTTGTTAGGAATTTGTATGCCTGGGTGTATGTGTGCAGAGATCCAGCTCCTGGCTTTGTGCTGTGACATGGGGAAGCTTGCCATTGGGTATGTGTGTCTCTGTGTGCCTGGCCATGTGAGAGAGACATGCGATGTAGCTCCGGTGTGTGGGGGCCATGGGGAGCCTTGGGTGGGGGTGAGGCCGCGTTGACATTTCCCATTGCGCTCACGGGCGGTGTTGCAGCTCTGGTGGTTCTGCACAAATTGCATAAATATTCATTGGGAAATGTAAAGAAATTTGACTGTCCCAAATGATTACACGCGCCTGCCCTGAAGGGCACGATTATTCCCAGCCTCGTGACTTGGCCCACTGCTGAGAGAGCTAATACTAGCCAGGTTAAAAAAGAAGCAATAGGGCATCCCAGCATGGGTCTAACCAGGCGAGAACATCTTGATGAGACTGTCTTCTTTCCCCCCAACCTTAGGCCTTTTCTACAAATGAAGGGGGTGGGGCAGGTGGTGGAGATAACAGAACAGCTGCATAACACATGTGCATATCAATAAGGAGGTGGTTCAGGGACTGCATTTTACAGAGCATGGTTTGGGTCCTATACTTGCAAGATTTGGGGCACCTTTTTATAACCCCTTATTGTACTTGGAAAATCCACAAAAGAATTAGCAACAATGGATA